TATATTTCTCCCTTTTTCGTCCCTTTTTCCTCCCTTTTTCCTCCCTTTCCATCTCTCCCTCGCTCTCTCCCTCTCTTTCTCTCTCTTCCTCTCTCTTCCCTCCTCTCTCTCTCTCTCTCTCTCTCTCTCTCTCTCTCTCTCTCTCTCTCTCTTGTTATCTCAGTGAATCAAAGACCGCCTCCTAAACGATCTAAACTGCCTCGATGAAGGCGTCAAAAACACTTTTATTAAACCAATCTATTGTCTCTCGTCCTCAGATACCACTCGTCCGGAGCCCACTCTAGAGACCCCGCTCAACATCAATGGCGGCTTCATCGCCATGGCAGCCGGCCTTTCTGTCGTTGTCCCACTGATCTGTGTTCTCATCATACAGCTAAGGAGGGCCAAGCGGGAGGAGAGGGAGAGGAGGGAGAGGGAGGCGAGTGGAGGGGAGGGAGGAAGTGGGGAGACTTCTGACAACGTCCATGACCCACCTCCCTCGTACGAGCAGCTGTTTGGTCCGGGCTACGAGCACGAATCAGGTCCGGTAACTTTTCACTCCAGACACAATAGCACGGAGGTTTTGTTAGAGCAGGATAGTGCGAGCTCAGCCAGTGGCCGGACTTTCCACGATATAGAGGAGGAGGAGGATGGTTTGAGAACTGGTGGCGGGGCGGGCGATGCTAGGAGAGTACCTCCAGCTGGCGCGACATCGGAGGTCGGGAGTGGTGGGGATGGAGAAGATGGGGGAGAGGGTGGGGGTACGGAGGACACGCAGTTACAAGATGGACGCGAACTGTCTTCAGAGCGACAGGGGAGAGTCAACCGTGCCTTCTCAACCACCTCGGTGGCCACTATTTCTGGTTCAGAGGTCGCTGACCTTCCAGCTGCCTCCTCAGAGGTCAACTCTCCTCCTGACCTGGAGGTCAACCAAAGCTCTCAGGAAGTACCCCTTGGCGTCATCAACCTGAACAGACAGACATCATCGTCAACCAACAACAGCCATAGCAACCCGAGCACATCTTCGTCTGAACAACAAACTCTGACGTCACCAGAAACGTCACCGTCACATCCACAACAACAAACAACAACAGCAACAAGAATAACAACTCCTTCAGAGTCCACAAGTGGCGACGATCAAACTCCCTCGTCTTCCAACTCACCTCCTCCTCCTCCCTCCCATCCTCCACCACCATTCTCGGACTCTCCGCCTCCGTCTCCTCCACCTCCCCCCTCCCCTCCTCCCCAACCCTCCACCTCACGGCGCCGGTTCCCCGGCATGCACATCTCCATCCAAGAGTTCTTCTCCTCCCTCTGGGGCTCCACAGACTCCGACGCTGACCCGCCCCCGCCCACGTATGAAGAAGCGCTCAAAATCCTGGAGAAAGCGAAACTAGACCAGGAGCAAGAACATAAATGACAGATGGTGGTGACATCTCTGTCTGTGGACAACCTCCCAGAATCCTTAACCCCGATTGGTTAACCACGTTCTAAATCTAAAAGTGCTTGGTTTTAGAATAACATTATAGTTGTATACAGACGGAATGTCTCAGGATATCCTCATGTGGCATTTTTGGACACTTCATCGTGTGCATCGTGTGGAAAGCTAAACCACACTCAAGCTATCTCTTCTCATGCCGTCACGTGACATTGTTGCTGACGTATGAGTTATTAGTGATGAACACACGAGTGTTTGGAGTCCCCCTCCCCACTCTACTGAGTCTGTCTCTGGTTCCGTCGTCGTCACAAACTCCAGGTCCGATGAAAAACGTCTGGAGGGCGGTCAGCAATTGTGTCTACGAACAGTGGTGCCTCAGTTTACAGTGTCCGGGTTTTCGATGTCTTGAGTGGCTCATGCTCGATTCTCCTTTGACTTCGTTTTACATTTTGAGTTTGAGTAAAAAATTCACAGCACCTACAGCACAAATAGGCCTAGAAAGTGTTAAAGATCGAAGGTATTATAAGAGAAAACTGCAAAGAATAGAAGGAGGAGAGATGAGGACGTTGAATATTTGAAAGGAGAGAAGGAACAAACCACACCAGAGCTCCCGCCACCCACTTGTTTGAGTAACTTAATCAGCCACGGTCATTGTACCTGGGCATGGTCTGATAAAAGCGGAACCGGCCAGTGTATCCCCACAGTTGAAGATGGTACACGCTTTCATTTATATTATTACATTCCAAGAGGTTCCACATTCCAGGAAAATATACTGTGGTGTCTACATATGGACAAAATCTAGTTTCTACGAGACCCATATCGAAGGACTAACAACCCAACATGATCCAGAATCCACATTCCACTAGAGAGCACATTTATGGAGGACTCACATTCCCAAAGAATCCAATTTTCTACAGAATTCACATTCAAACAGAAAACAAATTATGTTGGGAGACTAACGTTCCACAGAGGACTGGTCATTCATGCAACCCTCTGACATTCATTCAATGTTTAAGAACAGAAAATTCATTCGCCCATTAATCAATTATTGTTCATAAATTTAGGACTGGTCATTCATTCAATCACCAATCATTCAATCACAAATTGAGGAAGAATGATCTAATTAACCATCAGTCAGTAATTTATAAATGTACCCCGCCATTCTATTGTCCGAAAGTGCCTGCCTGGAATGTGAAGGTCCTGCGTTCGGACCCCGCCCCAAGTCTTTCTTTGGCTACTGTTGTACTCGAGAAGCGAGAAACTGGATCACTGAATAGATATTGACTTGACTTTGTCATATCTAGTCTAGACCAAAAAGAAAACCCACAAAAAAACTCAATTTATGTATTTATGCATTAACTTATTTTTATTACTCATTACATGCACATTCGTCCAGCTTGTATTTTGTTTACTCTTCACATATATATAATGTGTGTGTGTTTGTGGTGTGTGTGTGTGTGTGTGTGTGTGTGTGTGT